ACTAAGCAACTTATTCACTCCCTGGTTATCTCTCGCCTTGACTATTGTAACTCCCTCCTCATTGGCCTACCTCATTTCAGGCTATCCCCTCTTCAGTCTATTTTGAATGCTGCTGCCAGACTAATCCACCTTACTAACCATTCCATATCTGCCACTCCTCTCTGCCAATCCCTCCACTGGCTTCCCATTACCCAACGAATAAGGTCAAAACATTAACAATAACATATAAAGCCATTTATAACTCTGCCCCCAATTACATCACCAATCTTGTCTCCAAATATCACCCAAACTGTACTCCTCCCCTCATGCCAGGGTACTAGGTGTAATTCTAGACTCCCATCTGTCCTTTCAGCCCCAAATCCAATCACTGTCCACATCTTGTAGACTTCACCTCTGCAACATCTCCAAGATACGCCCGTTCCTAACCTCGGAAACCACTAAGCAACTTATCCATTCCCTTGTTATATCTCGCCTTGACTATTGTAACTCCCTCCTCATTGGCCTACCTCATCGCAGGCTATCCTCTCTTCAGTCTATCATGAATGCTGCTGCCAGAATCATCCACTTTACTAATCGTTCTGTATCTGCCATCCCTCTCTGCCAATCCCTCCACTGGCTTCCCGTTGCCCAACGGATAAAGTTCAAAACATTAACAATAACGTATAAAGCCATTTATAACTCTGCTCCCAAATTACATCACCAATCTTGTCTCTAAATAACACCCAAACCGTACTCTCCGTTCCTCACAAGACCTCCTACTCTCTAGCTCCCTTGTCTCCTCCTCCCATGCTCGTCTCCAGGACTTTTCCAAAGCTTCCCCCATCTTCTGGAACTCTCTACCCCAATTTATCAGACTATCGCCTACTCTGCTCACTTTTAGGCGATCTCTGAAAACCTATCTCTTCAGGGAAGCCTATCCTGCCCTCAGCTAATACTGGAATCTTCTACTCTTCCAACCAGTCCATCCCTCACAGTTACTACCTTTTGTGCCACTAGCCCCTCCCTCCTAGATTGTAAGCTCAAAGGAGCAGGGCCCTTAAATCCCTCTTGTATTGAACTGTATTGTTGCTGTATTGTCTCCCGTTATATTGTAAAGCGCTGAGCAAACTGTTGGCGCTATATAAATCCTGTATAACAATAATAATAATATTTCATAATACATTTTGGTAAGCACTATGTCTGTTTTGCTTTTATCATTACATAGTCTGATACATCGCTTTTACTCTGAGGAGGCTGAAAATGTCACATTGGATTTGATCCCCAAGAGGAAAAGTGTGATATGACTTTTCTGTTTATTCAGGGCTCATGTCGATAAGGTGAGCGGCCTTGACTTCCTTTGGTGGTGGGAGAGAGCACCTTCACACTTGGATGTTTGAACACCATCACTTATTGTGAATCACTGGACGTTCTTGCTGATATACAGCGATATATAAACGTTTTTGTTATATAGCTATTGCGCTACACTTAATACATTTATAATTTGTAATGAGGTACTGTGGATTGTACCTTTATTGTTTAGCTGGCAATTGCTTTAGTTTAGATAGATTTTACCATCTGACCATCTGATTGGTTTTCAATATCCAGTTATGTTCCTGTTTAAGCTGGTGCCATATCCTCGGCCAAAGTTTTCCTATTTTAGGGTGGCTCCTTTGTCATGCTACATCCTATGGAGCCACACTTCCATGAAGAGGCTAGAGTTGTGTGTCCTTATGCTGTGTGCATCAATAGAAACACAAACCTGCCACATGCACAACCCTGTAGTCTGCAGTGGCAGGACACTCCTCTGCTTCTCCCTCCTCTTCCCCCTCTCTTATCTAAGCCAACAGAGTGTCTCCAGACTGCACCGTCCACTGCTAACTCTTTCCTGTGAAAATAGAAAAACAGAGAAGTAGCACTGAGAGAATGATCCAGCAGCATTGGAAGTTGAATGTGTTGGGGTAAGAAGGGCCAGATCTAGCCGGTGTAATGTGGGGTGCAGTAAAACATTTCAGGGGGGCAGGGGATGGGAAGTAAGCAGGACAGTGTACAGAAATAGAAATCAGTAGGGCAGTGTCAAATTTGTGGATGTGGGAATTGAATTATTATAACTGATGTATGGGCTGCCTTACTGAGCCTACCTTAAAGTGTAAGTTCACTTTTACAGAAAGTCTTTAAGGTAATATAACACTGCACCCTTCCCACACACCCCCAGTCCCGCTGTACTTACCTCACATGATCCTTTGCTGTCAGGTTCCCGCATGCCACTCCACAGGTCAGGGGATTTGAAATGCCCATACCTTAATCTCCTTACTGGGAAGCAAACAACACAGGCCTCATCAGAGAATTACCCCTGTGCTGCTCTACGACCAGTAAAAGAGAGAGGCCGGAGCCTCCTTAATCTCCTTTTTGTACTGTGCAGCCAGTACGGACCAGACGAATTCTAATTGGTCGCACTGTCACTTAGAGGGTGCTGACCAATCAGAATCTATCTTGCCCTTCCTGTCAGCACTGGAAGGAGAGGAGAGAAATAGTGGAATGCAGGAGCATGACAGTGCAGTATTGTGGGAGGTAAGTGCAGCGGGACCCTGGGGGGGGGGGGGGATGGGAAGGGGTCCAGTAAAAGGTCATCTTACAGATTTTCTATTTACAGTGCCTTCAAAAAGTATTCATACCCCTTGAAATTTTCCACATTTTGTCATGTTACAACCAAAAACATAAATGCATTTTATTGGGATTGTATGTGATAGACCAACACAAAGTGGCACATAATTGTGAGGTGGAAGGAAAATGATTAATGGTTTTCAAAATTTTTCACAAATAAATATTACTGCCTTACTGAGCCTACCTTAAAGTGTAAGTTCACTTTTACAGAAAGTCTTTAAGGTAATATAACACTGCACCCTTCCCACACACCCCCAGTCCCGCTGTACTTACCTCACATGATCCTTTGCTGTCAGGTTCCCGCATGCCACTCCACAGGTCAGGGGATTTGAAATGCCCATACCTTAATCTCCTTACTGGAAGCAAACAACACAGGCCTCATCAGAGAATTACCCCTGTGCTGCTCTACGACCAGTAAGAGAGAGAGGCCGGAGCCTCCTTAATCTCCTTTTTGTACTGTGCAGCCAGTACGGACCAGACGAATTCTAATTGGTCGCACTGTCACTTAGAGGGTGCTGACCAATCAGAATCTATCTTGCCCTTCCTGTCAGCACTGGAAGGAGAGGAGAGAAATAGTGGAATGCAGGAGCATGACAGTGCAGTATTGTGGGAGGTAAGTGCAGCGGGACCCTGGGGGGGGGGGGGGGATGGGAAGGGGTCCAGTAAAAGGTCATCTTACAGATTTTCTATTTACAGTGCCTTCAAAAAGTATTCATACCCCTTGAAATTTTCCACATTTTGTCATGTTACAACCAAAAACATAAATGCATTTTATTGGGATTGTATGTGATAGACCAACACAAAGTGGCACATAATTGTGAGGTGGAAGGAAAATGATTAATGGTTTTCAAAATTTTTCACAAATAAATATCTGGAAAGTGTGGCGTGCATTCTGGGGCCCCCCTTAATGACCAGGCCTTTTTTTGCTACTCGGCGCTACACTAATTCAACTGAATTGTGTGGTCATGCAATGCTGCACCCAAACGAAATTTGCGTCCTTTTTTTTTACACAAATAGAGATTTCTTTCAGTGGTATTTGATTACCTGTGCGCTTTTTATTTTTCACGCTATAATCAAAAAAAGGCCAAACTTTTTAAGAAAAACTATATTTTTTTACTTTCAGCTATAAAATATATATAGTAAACTCAAAGTTGGTTATAAATATAGGCCAAAATGTATTCTGCTACATGTTTTTGGTAAAAAAAAATCCCAATAAGTGTATATTGATTGCTTTGTGTGGACGTTATAGCGTCTACAAACTGCAATTTTCGCCATTTTTTTGCTATACAGCACTGTGCTAGTTTAACGGACATTTGCGCGGTCATGAAAAACGTTACATAAATGAAATTTACATCCTTTTTTTTTCCCCACAAATTGAGCTTTCTTTCGGTGGTATTTGATCGCCTGTGCGGTTTTTATTTTTCGCTATGAAAAAAAAAAGGCTGACAATTTTGAGGAAAAAAGAAAAGTATTTTGGACTTTTTGCTATAAAACATGTCCAGTAAAAAAAAATTTAAAAATCAAATTTAGTCCTAAATTTCTGCCAAAATGCATTCTGCGACATGTCTTTGCTAAAAAAAAAAACCCAATACGTGTAAATTAATTGGTTTACGTGAACGTTATAGCATTTACAAATGGCGGGAAAGATACTGGGATTTTTAGGTTTTTTTTATACTGATAATGGCGGCGATCAGCGACTTATGGCGGCGATCAGTGACTTATGGCAGGACTGCAGCGGACATTCCGACATTGGGGGATACTGACTTGGGGTCACTGACATCCCCAGTGACACCAATACAGTGACCAGTGCAAAAACAAACACTGACACTGTACTAATGGCACTGGGGAGGACGGAGTTAAGTTTATTATTCAGGAAAGGGTTTACTGTGTGAGGGGAGTGTTTTACCGGGGGGGGGGGGGGGGGAGGTGTGTACTGCAGGGAACACCTCGCTGATCGGGAGACAGAAATTCTGTCCCGATCAGAGTGTCCTGGAGCTGTCAGGGAACTGACAGAAAGCACAGCTACTGCAGCCCTGCTCTCTGTCAGTGATTGCCGCCGATCGCCGGGACATAGCCGGTAACGACCGGCTGTGACCCGACGCGACTGACATCCGCGGCTGTGATCGGCGGGACAGGTAGGGTGGCGGCACGCCTCGCTTGCGCCCCCTACCTGTTTTAAAAACACGTTTTAAAACGTGCTTTTGCCCTGCCGTGCCGCCCTGCCGCCGTATTTCTACAGTGGCTGGGCGGCATGTGGTTAAAATATTTTATATGTGATTGTTTAATAAAAATATACAGTTTTTAATCTATTCAATGGTGTGGGACCTTCAAAATCCTCTGCAGTCCTGTTTTTTAGGGTTTTTACATACAACAAAAACCTTTATACACCCAAAATAAATGAAAACCCTAAAAAATCCCGATGAAACAAATTCCCATTTCAGGGTTATGATTAGGCCAGAGCCTTCCCTTAAGTCTTGCATAGGTGTACCAGCTCCTCCCCTTCAGTCTTGCACAGGTGTAGCGGCTCCCCCTCCTTTATTTTTGCACAGATGACCTGTACCGGCTCCTCCCCTTCAGTCTTGCACAGGTGTACTGCCTCCTCCCCTTCAGTCTTGCACAGGTGTACCGGCTCCTCCCCTTCAGTCTTGCACAGGTGTACCGGCTCCTCCCCTTCAGTCTTGCACAGGTGTACCGGCTCCTCCCCTTCAGTCTTGCACAGGTGTACCGGCTCCTCCCCTTCAGTCTTGCACGTGTACCGGCTCCTCCCCTTCAGTCTTGCACAGGTGTACTGCCTCCTCCCCTTCAGTCTTGCACAGGTGTACCGGCTCCTCCCCTTCAGTCCTGCACAGCTGTACCAGCTCCTCTCCTGAACTGAAATGGCTTCCTCTTATTAAACTGCACACTGTGAGCATCTCACAATGCGCATTGGAAGCTGCAGGAAGTCAGATAGAACCGTGAACTCATTTCCTGGCTGGAGGTTGTCCAGCATCATCTAGCACTTTCCTCCCCAGTCTGACTGTCCCTGGCCCCGCCCCTTTCATTCATTGGATTTCTGTTCTTCAGACAAAATATTTGGGAGCTTGGGGCATGTAGAGTGTTCAGTCTGCAGCAAACATGTAATTTTAAATTACATCAAATGTTTACTTCCAGACAGACGGTGACTTTCAAACAATTTTCATCAAAGGAGCAGATTTACTATAAAAAAAAAACAGCCACTTCCTATAAAAAGATAATTATATTATTAAGTCATTAAAATAAAATCTGTTTTTTATCTTCAGAAAAGTCCTATTTTCCCATCTTAGTCCTCAGACCGACTCTGCACACTCAGCTTAGATCAGAGTCCCATGTACAGAGGTCTCTGCCTGTGCAACACTGTCCTTGCCCAAACTCAAAAAAGCCTATGAAAAGGTACCAGGGCATCTCATGGGCCCCCCAAA